TCTGCAAGCTCAGTTGAATTCTCTCCACCACGGGTATACCCTGCTTGTATTTATAATACCAGTGCCAATGCTTCCAGACCCACAGCAACATGAAAGCCACCACAGTGTGGCAAACTGACAGATGAGTGGTGGACACTGAATTATTAGTTGCAGGATTATTAATAACTGTGTGGAAGACTTTTTTTTGCTTTTTCTACTTTTCCTTTAATTACTACTTGATTCTGAAAAAAAGTTATTGTTATAGATTTGCAAATGCTAACTACCATAATGTTATCACTAAAATACCACAGAAAGTTTGACAAAATCAACAACTATAAGGACATAGACAACAATGAAAACAACAGTGCATACAGATAAAATGACCATTGATTTGAAGCATCATTGTGCTTGACACCTCTGATCAGTGTGAATTAGTGGTGGTGGTGGCTGTGTGCCATGGAGTCGGTTCCGACTCATAGCGACCCTGTACAGGGTTTCTGAGGCTGTAAATCTTTACAGGAGCAGAAAGCCTCAACTTTCTCCCGCGGAACAGCTGGTAGTTTCAAACTGCTGACTTTGTGGTTCACAGCCCGATTCGTAACCACTACACTACCAGAGCTCCTTTTAGTGTGAATTAGAAGGCTCAAAATATAAATTAGCATAGAGTGTATTGTATAGAGCCTTGTATTAGAATAGAGTGTATTGATACATATAAACTGAGCTTACAAAAATTGTTTTTGCTGATAAAACTAACAACAAGGATATTTTATAAAAATAATAAATACTTGGTAAAAAACTGCACAAAATGTTATAGTCATTTTCTTCTCACTTTTTCTGAGAGTGTCACCAAGCATGCCCTTCACCCCTGATAGCCATAGACATGTCACCTGCTGATGGCTGTCCTGACCATACACCCAGGTTTTTGTGATCGCCTTTGTCTTCCAGAACCGCTACACCAATCCTCTACCTCCCTGCCCCACCCCACACCTATGCATTTCGTATCGTAGTTTTCATGTTTTCAGCTAAATAAGGCTTAGTGAAAACAGCCCACAATCTTTGGTGTCATCCCCACTGACAGAGTGAACTGATGCACTCCATAGTCCATGAACACCCCCTAAAAATACCACTGCTCACCTTCTCTGACTTTGGTGCCTCCTAGGACTATTGCAGATATGCCAACAGATGATGACAGGAGCCAGATACAGATGTTGATGATCTTTGCCTTTAAGGGCGTGCGAAAGTCTAATGCCTTAACAGGATGGCACACAGCGATGTAGCGGTCCACACTCATCATGGTCAAGGTGAAGATGCTGGTAAACATGTTATAGTAGTCTATGGAGATTACAATCTTGCATAGCACATCCCCAAATGGCCAGGAGTTCATCAGGTAGACTGTGCTCTGGAAAGGCATGGTTGTCATCACTAAAGCATCTGCCAGAGCGAGGTTAAAGATGTAAATGTTGGTTGCTGTCTTCATCTTTGTGTATCTACAAGACAAGAAGCAATATTATTTTCCTCTATCTTCCTGTCAAACTTGAATTGATATGGGAAACCCTTTAGACTAATGATCTTTCTGTTCACTCACTTATTCTTTACTTATATATTGAGGATGTTGTTGATGTTGTTATGTGCCGTGGAGTCGGTTCCAACTCATAGCGACCCTGCACAGGGTTTCCGAGGCTGTTAATCTTTACGGGAGCAGAAAGCCTCATCTTTCTCCCACGGAGCAGCTGGTAGTTTCGAACTGCTGACCTTGCGGTTCGCAGCCCTATTCGTAACCACTATGCTACCAGAGCTCCTTTAAAATATAAACTGTCACTCCCTGGGAGACACAACTTTTTTTTTTTTTTTTTTTTTTAAGTTTTTATTGTGAATTATGTGGGTTTACATGAGAGAAGATAAGTTTTTACATTCATCCTATCATATTTCATTTCATTGTAATGATTACAATCCTCTCCATGCATCATCAAACAACCAAAGGGCCTCTCCCTCCCTGAGTCCAGTGTCCTCAGCCGCTCCATCTGTCCATGTCATTGTCTCTGCCTCCATTTCTGGTGTCACTGCTTCTCTGGGTAGCATCCCACAATCCGCTCTTCTCACTTGATGGTCCCAGGGACCTCCGCTCCTGGACTGCAAAATCAGTCACTCCCCTCCTTTTGTTATAAAACATCTACCTTTACATTTCCAACCCTCATAGACAGTCCTGATAGCAATTATTCACTATTGTACTGCACAAGTCTTATCCCCATCTCCTTTCATTAGTCCTGTCCCAACAGGTTGGAAATCATTCAGTGGAGATTCTATCTTCTCCCGCCCCATCTGAAACTAGGCTCCCTCTTGAAAGCTTGTAAGCCAGTCACTTCTTACTTTTGTAGCATTCCCCCCCCACACACACACACACATTTTGGGTAGCCAATGTCTAAATTGCCCATCCTTGTCAACCCTGTGTACTGAGAGGGTGGGAGTGATCCTCACTGTAAAGATTTGTTCCCTTTTTTGAGCTACTACATTCATTAAAGTAGTAAAGTTCATCAAATCGTAGCAGGTTACTCTTTTTTTTTTTTTTTTTCCTCTTCTTTCCTCTTCTAGCCCAGTCAAGTGGGTACTATCTGCATGGATGGGTATTCTTGTGTATCTCCCCTCACTTCATATCAGCTGGATGCTTCTCTCTTTGCTCTAGTCTTCTGTGGCTATGTCACTACCTCTGGGCCCAGGAGTCCCTGGGTCTTGCCATACTGCTGGCCAACCAGGTCTCCACCCAGGTTCACAGGAGTCTATTGAATGTGGTCAGACTTAGCTCCCAACTTCATTGCTCTTTTACCCCACTTCCCCTTATTGGTGACCAACGTGGTCATCAGCCAGACCACATGAATGCTCGTGTATTCCCCTTGAGTCTTAGTCTTGGAAGGGGGTTTGTTTTGGGGATCTGACCACTTGCCTTGATGGCTCCCTGGCAAACAGCTTGCTTCTTGTAGTAGTCAATCAGACTGCTATTATTGTTTTTGATTTTTCCTGCTGATCTTTCTTTCACCAAGTATCTTCTGTTCTTCTAGCCACTCCAGGCTCGTCTACTTGTCCTTTCAACTGGAAATTTCCCACCTCAGATAATTTTGGATGGGGTTCTGGATTCCACCTATGGTGTTGTGCAGTGTAAAGGCTCCACAGGATGCCTCTTTCACTGGGCAACTTCTAGTCCGCTTTAAGGTGTTCCAATCAGTTATAGGCTGAAGACGGACTTACAAGCTTTCTATTGTGATGTTTCAGGCTATACCTTTCTCTCCCCCTTAAGGAGACACAACATTTTGCACTTGATTACTGATCTAAGAACTCCTGGTGTGGCACAGTACAATCAGCACTGGACTTTGAACCACAAGTTCAGCAGGTCAAACCCACCAGCTGCTTCTTGTAAAATCCTAACAGAGTCTCTATGAGTCAGAACTGACTCGACAGCACTTAACAACAACACTGACCTAAAGGTTGACATGTGGATCTGTTCCTCCACAAATGACACTCTAGAAAAGCTTCTGGAGCCATTCTCCTCTGCAACACAGGGATCACACATCAGTTAGAATTGACTTGAAGATAACAGATTTGGTTTTGTTTTTAATATGTAAAAGGATATTGGAAATGGTTTAAAATGGGCATAACACCCTTACTTTATTTACCTTGTACTCTAGTGCTTTTCTCATAAAATATTTTTATTTTATTGTTGTAAACAATGTACAATTGTCAATTCAACATTTTTTACTGTACAGTTCCTTGACACCAATTAGATTAATCAAACATCGAAAATCAAATAATCAAAAATGATTATACATATAGATATTTTTAACAGACTTGCATATATATGGGTTTTATTTTGTCACTGGCAATTTTACTTTTACCTAGAGTTGTTTTTTTTGTGTGTGTGTGGTTGGCTTGATTTTTTTTTTTAAATGTTTTATTGTGAATTATGTGATCATTTACATTGGAGAACATTAGTTTTACATCATCAACCAACCAAAGGGTATATCCTGCAAGTCTACACCCCAGTCATCAACACACAGCCCCTCTCCCTCTCTGGGTCTAGAGTCCCCAACCACTCCAACTCTCCATGTCATCGTCTCTGCCTCCATCTCTGGCAACACTGTTTCTCTGGGTAGGTCCCGCACTCTGCTCTTCTCCCTTGATGGTCCCAAGGACCTTTGCTTCTGGACTGCAAAGTTAAGTATGCCACTCCTTTTGCTACAAAACGTATACTTTTACATTTCCAACTCTCACAGTCAGTCTTCAACGCAATTATGCACTATTGTACCACAAGAGTCCTATCCACATTTCCTTTCATCAGCCCTGCCTAGACAGATTGGATATTACTCAATGGAGAGTCTACCTTCCTTCACACCCGCTGATCTAGGCTCTTCTTGTAAGCCAGTCACTTCTTGCCTTTGAAGTCCTCCCCCCCCCCCATTCTGGGTAGCCAATGTCCACGTTGCCCATCCCTGTAAATATGTGTTCCCTTTTTTGAGCTACTGCATCCATAGGTGTAGGTCAAGTTCATCAAATTGTATCAGATTACTCTTTTTTCCCTCTACTTTTTTCTTCTAGTTGAGCTCTGATCATCCAGTCATTGAGGCCAGGTCATGTGGGTATTATCTGTAAGTGTGGGTGTTTATATGCATATCCCCTTGCGTCTTATTAGCTGGAAACTTCACTCTCCACTCTAGTCCTCTGTGGCTGTGTCATTGACTCTGGGCCCAGGAGTCAGCAGGTCTTGCCATACTGTTGGCCAACGAGGTCTCCACCACAGTTTACAGGAGTCTGTTGAATGTGGTCTGACTTAGTTCACAGCTTCATTGCTGTTTTTCCCTCACTTCCTTTTCTCAGTGACCAACATGGTTACCAGTCAGACCAAATGTTTGCTCGTGTATTCCTCTTGAGTCTTAGTCTTGGAAGGGGGGTTTTCCCTGAGGGGACCCTACCATTTGCCTTGATGTCTCCTGGGCGAGCAACTTGCTTGTTCTTGCAGTAATCAGTTGGACTGTTATTATTGTTTTGTATTTTTCCTGTCGGTTTTTCTTTAAAGAAGTATCTTCTGTTCTTCTAGCCACTCCAGGCTGGTCTGCTTGTCCTTTCAAGTGGAGATTTCCCACCTCAGTAGATTCTGGATGGAATTCTGTATTCTACCTATGGTCTATGCAATGCAGAGGCTCCACAGGAAGCTTCCTTCACTGGGCAAGTTGTAGCCCCATTTTAGGTATTCCAATCAGTTATAGGCAAGCTTTCTATGGTGATATTTCTGGCTATTCCTTTCTCTCCCCCTCAAGTGTCTATTTTATAATGGTATGCAAGGGAAACCAAGATTCAAAATACAGCCAAGCATCTTAACATTATTTCCCCTCTTTTGCCCATTTCAAACGCCTCAATCCCTGTAGCCCAGAGTCCTGTTGTTCCAAGGTTGTGTATACATCATTTACCTCTGTCCCACTTAGCCCATGCAAACCTGCTTAATTGTTCTCCCATCTGCTTTGTTCTTCCATTCCCCTCCCCCTTCTTACATATTGCCCCCTTCTCCAGCACTCAAACTATCCTGTGTTATTCCCTACTCTGTGCTCCACCTTCCTATCCCTCCCCCCATCTCAGCCCCCATATCCTGGTAATGAGCAAATAATTTTTTTCCCCTTTTAGTATGGGTTCTTTTCTCAGTCTTTTACAATAGTGGTCCTATGCAGTATTTCTCCTTTTGCGACTGACTCATTTCACTCAACATAATGTCCTCAAGTTTCATCTATGGTATGTAGTAGCTTATAGCTTCCTTGTTGTTCTTCAAAGTAGCATACATAATATTCCATTGTGTGGATGTACCACAGTTTGTTTATCCATTCTTCAATTGATGGGCTGTCTCCATCTTTTTGCTATTGTAAATAGTGCTGCTATTAACATTGGTGTGCATATATCTACTCGTATTATGACTCATATTTCTTGTGGTAAATGCCAAGTAGAGGAATTGCTGGATCATAAGGTATTTCTATTTCCAATCTCTGAGGAAGCACCATATTGCTTTTCAGAGAGGTTGGACCATTTTGCAATCCCACTAGTTATATAGGAGGGTCTCAGTCTCTCCGCATCCTTGGCAGCATTTATTGTGCTCTACTTTTTTGATCTTTGCTGTTATTGTTGGTGTGAGATGATATCTCATTGTTGTTTTGATTTGCATATCTCTAATAGCTAGTGATCGTGAACATTTCCTGATATGTTTGTTGGTTGCCAGGATCTGCTTCTTGGTGAAGTGTCTGTTCATGTCCTGTGAGCATTTTTTAATTGGGTTCTTTGTCTTTTTCTTGTAGAGGTGTTGTAGTTTCCTGTATATTTTAGAAATGAGTCCATTGTCTGATATATCATTGCAAAATATTTTTTTCCAATTGTGTGGGTTCCCTTTATACTCTTTTGGTGAAATCTGTTGATGTACATACGTTTTAAATTTTTAATATGTCCCAATCATCTATTTTGT